ACTTGTGCTGTACGTAACAAGTCACGTGACATGACGCTGCGGCTGTGATTGGTTTGGCTCTGCGCTACTTAATTTGGATTGACTGTTCTTCTTCTTTTTTTTTCTTTTTTTTTAAGAGGACGAGCGGTGAGGTCTATCGCAATAGTGTAACTTTTCTATCGAGAAAAATTTATTTCGCAATACATATCGTTATCGTTCTATCGCCCAGCTCTATGTTTAAACTGAATTATTGTACCATGTTAAGAAAACTGAGCTCATTTTGACTCGATGGCAGCAGCAGGTAGCAGAACATTCGAACAGGGTCAAGCTGAAAAAGTGGCACTAAAAAGAAAGAGCTGGAGGAACATTTAGCAGCCACTTAGGTTTATTGGCAACATGTGAGTCACATGAAGGGGTCTAAAAGACCATCTTAAGAGAGGCAGAGGTTCACCATTCTGCAGAAAACTGCGTCTACAAATTGTTTTTCAGAATGTCTCTGAATGTAAACATGTGAAGACTTTGAGTAATTCATCATCTGTATTTCATAATATCATCATTGTTGAATGTGTCCGTATCACCAGGCCCTCAAAACGGGCATGATTGTGTGGTGGAAATCAGTGCATGGGCTCAGGATCAGCGTGCCCTCCACAGATGCAGGTTTTCATAACATGTTTATTTACTGAGGTTATCAGTACCATGTTTTGTGATTTGGAGGTTATACTCATAATTTTTCATGTTACACAGCCTTCCAACTGCTAACTATGAGTTGAGATGTGTGCATTCTCACAATTTCAGTGAGGTAGTTTTATAATGAGCCATCTGTAATGTGTTGGTCATTTATAAGGACTTGAGCTTTTTTGTGATCGTTTGTTGGATATGATTTTTATGCACTGACTGGACAACAGAAAAGCTCAGAGCTCTTCTAATATTTCTATACTGTTTTTCCCCTCACAGATCGGCACTCACATTCGGGCCAAGAGAAAGAGAGAAGAGCTGAGCAACGTACTGGCTGCCATGAGAAAGGCTGCTGCCAAGAAGGAGTAAAAGTCATTTAATAAAACATGAAACTACATTCCAGCCTCGTCTTTCTCTTTTTGCTTTGTCACCATTCATCAGATCTGTTTATGTTGCTGCAACCATCTCGGTCGTCAGCACACCTGAAGATGTTTGTAGAAATCTCAAAATATAGACATAACATGCTGCTTGGCTTTAGACCAGACTGTAGATTAGCCTACTGTGGCTAAAGGAATGAATATCACCAAAGAACTTGTAAAATTACCGCTGCAGCAGAAATAAAGCATATACATTTTTGTATAGAAATGTGTACTTTAAGTATAAAATAAATTTTAGAATGGTGACTTGTGCCCATTCTTTTCTGTTTGAAAGGAGCATGAAGCTTTAGCATGTGTGTGAAAATGCTTAATCAGCTGAGTATTCTCCAGCACTTTATTCTGTCTCACACACGGTCACACTCAAGCCACTTCCAAATTTTAAATGAGTTCACAAATTTAAATGGAGAAACTTGAGGTGTGGAAGTTCAGTGTTTACCACTGTTGCCTCAGTGAGGGGTTTGTGGTTCACATCCCAACTGGGCTGTTCTTTGATGAGTTTGCATGGTTTTGATGTATGGCTTGTAGTCTTACAGAATTTGAGTGATCAGTACTACAAAACACGACACATACACCAGTCGTGCTAAAATTAGCACTCAAATGTGAATTCAATAATGCTGATCATCTCCATCTCTGTTAATTGGCTATGCACCACAGACCTTAGTAGACAAACCGTTACTTAAAATGCCATCACTTGACCCAGCTGTATTGGCGCATTATAGGTCAATCTCCAACCTTCCTTTTATTTCAAAAATTCTTGAAAGTGTAGTTGTAAACTATGGAAGCCCGTTTCCGCCACTAAAAAAAA